CTGGATGATCTTGGAGGTCCCTTCCAACCCAGCTGATTCTATGATTCTATGATTCTCTGAGTCTATGATTCTATGACTCCTCCGGCTTCTCCCTGTTGTCTGGCAGTGGGATCCTGCTCCTTCCATGCAGTGGGATATTTGATCCTGAAATGAGCTGACCTGGGAGGAGTGAGGGTGGGGCAGGGTTAGATGGGATATTGGGAAGGAATTCCTGGCCGGGAGGCTCTGCCCAGGCTGCCCAGAGAAGCTGTGGCTGCCTCTGGATCCCTGGAAGTGTCCAAGGCCGGGTTGGATGAGGTTTGGAGCAACCTGGGCTGGTGGAAGCTGTCCCTGCCCAAGGTCTCTTCCAACCCCAACCCAATTCCAAGCTCATTATCCCTCTTCCCTTGGCTTTTCCCTCCTGTCTGCAGGGGGTGGCTTGGCTGGTTTTCCAGGCTTGGATGGACACTGGGGTGAGGTTCAAGGGCTGCTTTGCTGAGGAACAATTTCTGTATTTTTTCTGCCCATCTCTCTTGAAAGAGGATTTCAGAATAAATCAAGCCTTTTCTTTTAGTGCAGCCATAAAGAATTTTGGTTCTGGACCACTCCAAAAGTTACTTGTGTTATTTTATTCACACAGACAGGAGTCCTACTCTTTAACATATTTAACAGTGAAGAGTTTTGCTAAAAAAAAAACACCTCCAAACAAACAACTCCAATAATAAATAATTTGTACCAATAAAAAATTAGTACCAAATGTAAAACTTGTGACTGATTGAGTTGGGTCTTGTGGATTGGTTTTAAATGTGGTGGCTTTGCCATAAAGAGTTAATTGATATCCCATCACTGGAGTCATTTTATGAGAGTCAGGGGGAGAATATGGAGTAATAAAATCAATAGTTACTCAAAGTTGTATTTCCAGCTCTCTATAACGACCTGGACTTTGCTGTGAACGTATTTGCTTCACTCTCTGGGCTGAAATGAGTTGTCATCAGGACCCTGCATGTCAGAAAATGGTTTTATTGAGCTGCCAATGACATTAAAGTCTCATTTCCCTTTGAAGAGGCCCAGAAATATTGTCCTGTAACCAGAACATTCCAATTGGGTTACTGCCCCCATTAGAAACCCCTGTCCATACTAATACAATTAGATTTATTTCCAGCACCTTTTAGAGAGGGAAATCTGGTGCTGCTCAGGTATCTTTTGGTTCTGCCAGTTATTTTCCACACCGGGGTTTCTATTAAAATTGATTTAGTAGAAATATCCTTATATTAAAACACACTTCTTTTGCACTTTAGGTCACTGTGGAAATCTGATTATTGGCTGGTTTTTTCCCAGCAAAAATCCTGTTGGAGGTGTAAAACCCACCTATTTTCCATAACCAGATTATCCCCTGACCCTTCCTGCTCCTTCCCAACCATATTTTAAGGATGAGTTCCCTGGAAAACACCAGGGGGAAGAATCACTAAGTGAGTTAAGGCTTTAATTCTGAGGAGAGGAGCCTGTTTACAGACCTGCAGTATTTATTACATACCTCATTTAGCTCATTCATCATTTTAATAGAAAAAAAGGAATCTTTTGAGATGATTCTGAAATAATTTGAAGTAAACTACATAGCCTGAGGCAAGACATGATTGCTTCCTGCAGGGAGGGCCTGTCAGGGAAGTCCAGAGCGAGCAGAGCCCAAAATTCACAATTTAGGGGAGGAAAAATCCTATTTGAAGGTGAGATTTCAGGTTTGGGAACCCCATGGTGCAGAATTAAATCACTGACAGTTGTTTTGCCTCTTTTTGTTCAGTTTT